ATGGAGAAGGCAAGGAGGCAGGGGGTCTTCAGGGATACAGGAGCCAGGAGTCCTCCACGGGAAGAGACTGGGTGGGAGTAGTCAGGGAGGGCTTTGTGGAAGAAGGGGATGTTCCCAACAGGTTTTCTACACATTCGCTGTGCAGAGGGCAACCTGGAAGGGCCGTGAGGAGGACCCCAACAGGCAGAGGGGAAGTACACAAGCCGGAACAAGCCCCCCTGAGCTGAGAGCAGGCCCAGGCCCCCGCCAGCTGCAGCGCGGAGGGCAGGGGGCAGCAGTGACTCACAAGCGAAGGGCTGGTCTGAGAAGGGAGACTCGGCGGGCCCAGGTCCCGCACTGCAGGAACCAGAGGAAAGCGCCGCGGGGGTTAAGAGATTAAGGAAGAGGCTGGACTTGAGGCAGGCTGGTGAGATTACCAGCGGTTCTCAACCTGGGGGTCGCAACGCCTTTGGGGGTCGAACCACCCTTTCACAGGGGTCGCCTAAGACCATTGGAAAACACAAATTTCCGCTGGCCTCAGGAACCGACGCGGCTCCTCTGTCCCACAGGCAGACACGCCCACACACAGCGTGAGGAGCTGCATTACAGGGTCACGGCACCGGGAAGGTGGAGAACCCCTGGACTAGGCAGAGAGGAAGGACAGATACGGTTTCTATCAAGGGACTTGGGACCCTGATCATGACTGTTGCCTGAGATAAGGAAGGACAGCAAGTGAGACCAACTAGGAAGGGGGAGGCGGGCAGTCTGGCTAGACAGGGTCTGGACTGCAGGCTGGGGATGCGATCCAGAGGCTCAGAGGCTGGGCCCCGAGCCCAGTGGGGACAACACAGCCAGGCTTGGGGGCGCAGTCAGAACAGGATGGAGACAGACGGTCAGCAGAGGGCAGTGAGGGCCACTGACTGAGCACCTACTACCTGTGGCTGCTGTACCTGGTGCTTCCCGCCCGCCTTCAGCCCCTCCTGCAAAGTGAAAGCGATAATTCTGAGGCACCCTAATTTCCAAGTTTTGGTCGGCATTGGAACGTGACCACCGAGAACCCCAGGATCCTCGTCGGAATGATACCCCAGGAACTCCGGTGACTCAGCAGGTGGAGCCCTGGCGTGGAAGGAGAGAGAGGCCCTTGGGCTGGAGACTCTGGACCTCCGACTGCCTCCTGCCTTCCTCCTGAGGCTCCCTGGGCCTCCCAGTCCCTCCACACCCGCAGTCCCCACCCGCCGCTGCTTCTGCCACTCGAGACCCCTGGCCCTGTCACCGGCGTGCACTCGAGTGCCCTGCCTCAGACTATGACTCGTCACATCCAGCCGGGAGCTGTGCTGTGCGTCCGGCCTCGGCTTGGGGCCTCAGAACAAGGTTAAACGCGGAAGCGCCGTATACAACGCCTCACAGCCTCCTTGGGCTCATCTTTGGCCCCCGTCTCTCTCTGTGCTCCACACCCCATTTTACAGTCCAGCTGAGCACCCCAGCGACCTCTCCCTCCTGGTCCCCCCCAGCACCTCGCACCACGATTCACTTGCATAGGTTCTGGTTACCCTAATGCAGCCCAGGGTCCCCTCCGTCAGGAGCCTCCCATGTGCCCTAGGTAAGAAGTTCGCCGCCTGTGGGTTTCCATGGTAACCCAGGAACACTCCTTCCTGGACACTTAGCACAACCCAAGGTCATGGGCTCTTCACCGGCACGTCTTCCCCACCATTTGGGGAGGCTGTGAGACCAGGAGTTGTGAATGGCACACAGTGGTGTCCCAAATGGCACATTTGGCGTGGACCCAGGCAAAGGTGGCCCAGGTGGCTCCTGGGTGAGGAGAGAGACTTCGGTTCATGAGCTTTAAGAAGTCAAGCTGCCCTGGCCAGTTTGCTCAGCGGTTAGAGCATCGACCTGCGGTCCTGAGAGACCTGGGTTCAGTTCCTGCTAAGGGCACGTACTTCGGTTGCAGTTTGTCCCCGGCCCTGGTCGGTCGTGCGGGTGGCAACCACTTGATGTGTCCCTTTCACGTCGATGTTTCTCTCTCTCTCTCTGTTCCTCTCTCTCCCTCCCACTCTACCTGAACAAAAAATGGAAAAATGTCCTCGGGTGAGAATAAAAAAAAAAAAGAAAGAAGTCAAGCTGCTGCTGCTGGGACCCTCAGGAAACACAGGGCCACAGACAGGGTCTTCATGATGCCACCCCCGGTCTCCCTGTAACACCTGTTGGGTGTAAAAGCCCCTCATCTCTACACGGGGAACCCAGTTAACACCCACACTCGTGGGAGGCACACGATGCCATTGCCCCTGGGCCTCCTGGCTGTCCCTGCAGTCAGGTGCTGGCTGTCCCGGCAGCCCCCGCCCCCGTGGGCGTCTGTCCGCTGCCAGCGCCCCCACCGGACCCTCTCCGGTCTGTTCTGGATCAAGATGCCGGGCGAGCCGGGGTGGGGGGAGGCGGCTGCCCCGGCTCAGAAAGCAGTCGGGTCTTCTCTCGAACAGACGCCCTGACACCGTAGCCAGAGCTCGTCCGCGCATGTGATTTATGGACGGATTCAGCGTGCAAGGGAAACATCTGCATTTCGCTTTTATCGCCCTGCCAGCAGACAGACGGGCTGAAGACAAGATGTGCACTGCAGGCTTGTTCAACGCGGCCTCCGACACCGCCGCCCGCTCGCCGGGGCTCGCGCGGGGTGCCGGCTCTGCCCTCTCTGGATTCCGCTGGCCCAACGGGCGCGCGCGAGCGTCAGGCTCTCGTCCACATGGAAACACCCAGGGACAGGCAGCGGGCCGGGAACCCTGCGCTGGCGTCGCGTCCAGGGCAGGCTGCTTGCTGGCCCCGTCTCGGAATTTGGGAAATGAAAAGGTGCCCCGGTTATTCCAAACGGTGCACTCAGTCCGACCGGCTCTCCGTGTGGCTCTAAGATGTCCGTGGAAAGGAATGTGACGTGTCAGGCTGTCTGCTCTGGGCAAAGCCCCGCGGGATGACGCAGCGGTAGGACTGTCTCTCCGAACACGGTAAGATCAAGCCTCCTGGACGTGGGACGGCGACTGGATTGGAAGCGCAGCCTTTGCCGACGTACTCAAGTGAGAACGAGGTCGTGTTGGATCAGGGTAGGCCCAGATCCGAGGACTGGCATCCTTAGAAGAGGAGGACATTTGGACAGAGACGCGAGGAAGAAGCATTGCAGGCGGAGGCTGAGGCTGGGATGAAGCATCCACCAGCCAAGGAAGAGGGAGGAACGCCGGAAGGCGCCCGAGCCAGGAGGGGGCACGGGACGGCTTCTCCTCTGAGACCCGGGAAGGCCTCAGCCCTGCGGACACCTGGGTTTGGGCCTTCTGGCCTCCAGACTCTGAGAACACATGTCTGTCTTTCCAGCCGCCCCGCCCAAGGTCCTTTCTCACAGCAGCTCCGGAGACGGACACAGAGCACCCGGGCGGGGGCCCTCCCCGGGATGCTGGGGAGGGTGGAGCTCCAGACCACGGGGGTGCTGCCGTGCTCACAGCTGCAGGACCCCCAGCCCAGGGGACAAAGACGGCACCGCTGCTGACGAAGAGCCTGACGCAAACGTCCCCACGTGTCCCTGGGTCTCCGTGTTTCCCTCCACCAGTGAAGGGACCAGACCGAAAAGGAAGCCCCTTCAGACACAGCTTTTCATGCACATGTCACCACTGAGCCCTGAAGCCCTGCTGTTCTCCAGGTGGGGCCAACACATGTGCCACCCTGACCACGCGTATGTCCCAAACGGTGCAGCAGCACCCCGCCGCGCTCACAGGACACGCACAGCCAGAGCAGGCCTCGGCGTTTGTCCCAGCAACCTGCGAGGTGGGCACCTGAACCCAGATCGCTCTCCGTCAGCGGAGACTCCCCAGCCCCCGGAGGACACAAGGGCAGGGCCTCTCTGCATCTGCCAGTGGGCTGAGAACACCCCGAGTCACACTGGTGAGCGGTGGGCTGTTAGGCACCTTCCTCTTGTTGACCTTCTGTTCCCAGCACGCCGGGAAGGGGCAGTGACTGTGAGCTAAGTCCTTTGCCACGAGAGGACGCACTCAAGTCCGCCCTGGCCAGGGTCTTGGTTCCCCTGACGGTGCTCTGGGGCATGAGGCACAGCCTGCGGCTCGGGGGAGGGGGACAGGAACCCTAGGGCAGCCCCTCTCCTCTGTCCCTCCACCCCCTGCAAGAGCTTGGGAATGTTTGCTAAGCCGCAGTTTATTAAATAGGGTTACTTCCCCAGAGGCTTTGCTTTAGGAGTATCCCCATGGTTTCACCTCCGGGGGCCAGAACACTGTCCTAGGAAGAAAGATCCTGTCGCTCCATCCAAATGAGTAAAACTGAGGTTCCCCCAGCCTCCGGATTTTCAGATCCGACTTGCAGGCCCTCAGAATGTGCCCCAAGGCCCCCCGTTTTGCCCTCGACTCTCATTGTCAGTCCTGCTGGTTTAATAGTCTGTGTATAAGCCCCACAAAGAGAGGACTGAGGTCAGCCTGCTCACAGCCCTGTGCCAGCTCCCAGCACGGACCCGGCCCGGACAAGGGTCCCGATCGCTCCTTCTCGGGCGAGAGACAGAGAGCCGCCCTCACGGGGTCAGCACCACACTGGCCTCTCTGCCCGGAGAGCTGGCCCTCCGTTCTCGGAGCTCAGAGCAAGAAAGGGTTTCAAGATGACGGATGTTGATGCAGACAAGCTGGGGTCAGCCCCGCACCCTGAGATCTATTTTGCAATCTAGAAAGGGCAGAGGGGGTCTCTGGCAAATATCTGTCAGGAGCCAAGAATTTGAGCTTCCTCTGCTGGCTGCTATGGCCATGTGGCTTCTTCCCCAGCTCTCGCAGTAAACTGTCCCCAGTTCCTTCCGCTGAACTTAGCGCCTACGTAGAATCTCGGAACGGCCTGGCCTGGGGCCAGCTGTGGGATGCCCAAGTGGAGGGACTCGGAGCAAACACGGGCCCCGTGCACATCGGGGGCAGCACTGCGGTCAGCCCCTAGGTGCAGGTTCCCGCCCGAGGGAGCCCCCGTCTCCCCTGCCCGCCCCCAGCCCGGGAGCTCACCACTGAGCGGATGGGGAACAGTGAACTGCTTCTTGTTGGCGCGAACAGGCACGGGGCCCTGCTTCGGCGCCGGGCTCTCCCCGCGCTGGGCTCGCCTCTGCTGCACCATGAGCTCCAGCTTCCTCAGCCGTTCTTGCGAGCGAGAGATGAACTGGGGCCTCCTGACCTCCAGAGCTTCCTGAATGGGGCCGAGAAAGAAGTTTATTTTTAAGAGAAGGAACCTAGAAAGGCGCATCCGTCTGATTAGGTCAAGAAGCTGGTCGAACGTACAACAGAGACCAGAATGTCACCGTTTCTCTGCACTGGCTCCTGAAGACAGCCACAGGCCCGTGGGTGACAGGTCCGGGCAGCCGGTCCTCGCCAGCACCCGGGGCCCCGCAGCATGGTGTCCCCCAACATCACGGGCATGAGAGCAAAGGCAAGCGCGACCATTCCTTCTATTTTTTTATCCTCACCCGAGGACATTTTTGCACGTATCTTCAGACAGAGCAGGAGGGAGAGAGGAGGGAAGAGAGAGAGAGAAACATCGATGTGAAAGGGACACATCGAGTGGCTGCCACCCACACGACCCCAAACAGGGCCGGGGACACACTGCAACCAAGGTACGTGCCCTTAGCGGGAACTGAACCCGGGTCTCTGGTCCGTGGGCTGATGCTCCAGCCGCTGAGCCAAACCGGCCAGGGCCACCATTCCTTCTTCCACCCTGTCCCCACCTGTCAGTTCATTTCCAGCAGCCCCGAACCGGAATGCCCTCGATGTCGCACTGCAGAGACCTGAGTGGGGACAGAGGGACGCATCATGACCCGCTCGCCTCTGCCGGGGGCTGGGACGGCGTAAAACACGTGCCTTCTCCGGAGAAAGCGACCGTGCCCACAGAGGCAACGTCTCCGCTCAGGGAGGAAGAGTCTGCAAACTACCTCTGCCTACGCACAACGGTTCTGCAGTGCCACAGAGACAGCTGGGGTCCCTACGTTCCTCCTCGGCCCGTCTGTCCCGGAAGCGGCGCGCTGAGCCACCCCACAGGGCCCCTGGGAGAGCGAGCCCCGCTGGGCCGGGCGTCCTGTGGCACCGCCGTCTCTGGACCCCCACTCCCACACCGGAAGGCAGCCCTGGTTAGCCGTACCTCACAGCTGTGGACACTGAGGCTCACTGGGGTTGGTGACCCTCAGCGGTGGGGTCCCAGGCCTTCCCCACACTGCCTTTCTTTGTCTCGACGGGCTCTGCACCTCCAGGTACCACCCAGGCCCATCCATCGGCTCAAGTCCCGGCTCTCCCAGGAAGCTCTAGGGGTCTCCCCGTTCAGCCTGAGCATCCTGGTACTTCACAGACCACCCCGCGCAGGGGTGGTGCCCACACGTCTACCTCCACGCCGGGCCACGAGCTCCTGGTGGCACGGGCCGGGTCTCATGAGCGCTGCACGTCGTAGGTGCTCTGCAAAGGCCTCCTGGAGGCACGAACCCACTCCTCCCCTGGCCTCTGGGGGCCCAGAGTTCCCGGGGGGGGAGGCAGCTGCAGCTCCCTCTGCGTCATGGACGAGGCCCTGGCAGCTGGTGCCAGATCGAGGGACCAGGCACAAGTCCCTGGGCCCTGGCGGGATGGACCTTGGGAATGGCCTATGGGCCCAGGGGTGGCTGCTGCCTCAGCCGCCTGTCCTGAGGCTGGAGGCTCAGGCTGTTCTGGGGCCCATACGGCTCTTCCTAGGGCCCACCCAGGCCCCAGGGGCACAGGGGCGCTACAGCCACCTGCACACCCGCAGGGCGGCACACAGCACCGCAGTGCCTTCTAGAAGGGGCGGCTGGCAACCCACGGTCGGCAGGGTCTTCTGTGAGGTCGTGTGCCTTTCTAATCGCTACACCTCTGTGTTTCTGAACTTGAAAAGGCAAACCTTTGGTTTCTACAACCCAGGAGAGATGCCAAATGAAAGTTCCATATCCTTGCCCTGGCCGGTTTGGCTCAGCGGTTAGAGCGTCCACCTGCGGTCCGGAGAGACCCGGGTTCGGTTCCCGCTAAGGGCATGTACCTCGGTTGCAGTGTGTCCCCGGCCCTGGTTGGTCGTGTGGGTGGCAGCCACTCGATGTGTCCCTTTCACGTCGATGTTTCCCTCTCTCTCTCTTCCTCTCTCTCCCTCCCACTCTGTCTGTACAAAAAATGGAAAAATGTCCTCGAATGAGGATTTAAAAAAAAAAAAAAAGTTCCATATCCTTGAACTCATGGCTGCATGACTTTGGGCAACTTCCTTAATCTTTCAAAGGCTCAGTGTCCTTATCTGAAGACGGGGTTATAGGGGCCCCTGCCCCAAAGGGGTGCCCTGAAGAGGGAAGGTGCTGATGCCTATGAGGTGAGCTGCCCAGTGTCTGGGCACCGTGACTTTTCAACAAAGGCTGTCACTGCTCATTGTCACCATGGAGATGGTGTGACCCCCATTCTTGCTCAGTGGAGTAGGTATCATCATCTCCACAACTCACCCGGTGAAACAGAGGCCCGGAGAGGTTAGGGCACCTGCCCGGAGTCACGCAGTCACAATGCGGGGGAGTCAGGTCTCCAGCCTCAGAAGCAGAGGCGGGGCTGTGTGCCCACGGACTCCCCGGGAAAGGTCTCCCTTCATGGATTCCCGGCATGGGCAGGAATCCAGACTAGGCAAGCAGAAGGCCTCACCTGCAAGGTCAAGGAGGAGCCGGCCGGCACTTGCTGGCACTCGGAGCGGTCTTCCTGCAGGTCGGGGGTCTCCGGGCCCTCGGAGGGCGCAGGCTGGGGCGCGGCTGGCTCGGGCCCAGGTGTGGCGGAGGCCGCGTCCTTGCATCCCTGTATCTGGACCACCAAGTCGCAGCACGTGTAATCCCCTGGGAGAGAAGATTCGGGTTCCGTTCAGACAGCACCCATGATACCTGCCTGGCTCAACACCATCCGTTTTGCAAATGGAAACACCAGCGGGTTATTAATGGGTCCATTAGGCCGCCAATATCATGGCTCATCACAGACCCCCAGCGCCCTGGTCACAGAGAGGAATGTCTGTGGGTGGCCAGATTGCACAACTAGCTTATTACGCGCCCCAGAGATATTCCCTTGGTTTCTGATGTTCAGGTACCTTTGCTCACGTTGAAAAGAAACTTTTCCATTTCATGCTTTTTATTAAGTGTGTCCTGTATGATTATTACCATGTGGTCGTTTGGGGACAGGGTGTGAATTCATCTTACGTTTTCTGCATTAATGATGTAAGACAGGGCTGGCGTTCAATGATCCATCCCACCCCTCATTTTGCTGGAGACCACCAACAGCTTGGCACCGGTAACTGGGACCCCCTGACTCAGTGCCGGCCTCGGTCTGGTCCTGGGGCCACGACACTCCTCTGTGGAAAGGTCAGGGTTGAGTTGAGTTGACCCAGCAGCGCTCCAGGCAGGGTGACCTCTGGGTGTGCAAGGTGCATTAACACTGTGCTCACTGACCAACTGCTGCCCCAGGAGCACAGTGTCCTTGCAGTGTGTCCGAGGCCACTCCTCCTGTCTGGGGCCCCTGCCCTCCCCCACCCACACCCCGACAGCCTCACCAAACCCCCCAGGTCGGAAACTCAACAGCGACTCTCCTGTCTTCACCCGCCTCCTCCTACCTCCACTCGCTGCTTTGGTTCCTCCACCCCGTGACCTCCGACCTCCAGGCTGAGCCCCAGCCCCTCAGGCCGCCGCCCTCGCCTGGGTCCTGCAGGGGACACATGTCACTCCTCCGCACACCCAGGAGGTCTGAACCCACCAGCCGGGGACTGCCCAGAGGGCTGGACCATGTCATGCTGACCCCGCATCTGTCCACAGTGCCATCCCAGTGCCTAGAAGGAGCTCATTCTGTTGGGAGTGGAGAGGCGGCCATGTGGAGGCTTACCTGGCCGCAGGTGCATCTCCACGGTTCCGTGAACATCTTACCTGAGCCCCCGCTTGACCTCCACCTTCTACCCCTGGACCCCTCTGGTCTGGACCAGCTGTCCCGGCTCTACTCAAACCCATGAATTTTCACTTTTACCTACAGGCCCTACAGGCCAGCCCCACTATCCATGGCTTGGTCATGGCAGATGGCCCACCTCCAACTATCACTTATTTATTTGTTTGTTTGTTTGTTTGTTTGTTTATTTATTTATTTTGGTACGTGCCCCTAGTGGGAACCGAACCCGGGACTCTCTAGTCCACAGGCTGACGCTCCAACCGCTGAGCCAAACTGGCCAGGGCTCACTTATTTATTTTTATAAAGATTTTTAAATTGATTTTTAAAAAGAGAGGAGAGAGAGAAACATCGATGTGACAGAGAAACATTGATCAGCGGCCTCCTGCACGCCCCTGACCAGAGATGGAGCCTGCAACCCGGGCATGCGCCCTGACCGGGAATCGAACCGGTGACCTTCCGGTGCACTGGACAACAGCCAATCCACTGAGCCACACAGGCCAGGCCTCCAACTATCACTTTTGATTCTGTACCAACAAAACACTACTTAGAGGTTCTCAAAGTATTTGATTTCCCCGCGGCTCCCCTGCCCCGTCCCTGCTTCAGGCCCAACCACTACCCCAGATACCCATCCCCAAACCCCCTCCAGCTAGAGTTAGTCACCCCTCCCTCACACCGTCTCCATTTCCTCTTTGAGCCTTTATTCCAGCTCGCCCTGTACACGGAGAAGCCACAGTCTGCCTGCTCCTCCCCACCACCCACACCATCGCCAGATCTGGCAACCCCGGGGCGCGCCGGACACGCCCGTCTCTCGTGTTCACGGCAAAGCGTTGCCCACTGCATCTCCAGAGTCTCCAGCACCGCGGCCCCTCTCCCCAGGGACGGGTCGCACCGTCTGCCTGGGCCCAGCCCTGCTTTCTCCCGTGGCCCCCACAGGGTGCAGGAGACCATGGCCTGCAGAGCAAACCTAATGACTTCAGACTCACACTGGGCCCCTGCCCCGCTCTCCTGCACTCTGACCCCGGGCCCAAATCGGCCAAGCTCCTTCCATCGCGCTCTGTTTGTAGGCGCCTGTCCGGCGGCTTGCCGTGTCCTTCACCCTCGGGTCTGGTGTCTAAGCCTTTGATCGGCTTCTGAGTCCCGGCTCAAAACCACTTCCTCGAGAAAGATCTCTCTGTCCAGACGGAGCCTCCTTGGAGATCTGGGGTCGTTCCAGCTTCCGGGACACAGGTATGACCTCAATATCTCGCCTGGCGGGCAGGGGGCACCTAGCACAGTGCCCGGCACACAGTAGGTGTCTAATAAATGCTCCTTTAATGTACTAATGCATGGAGAACTGGGGATTAACTTGGGTTCCGAGTGAAATTATTCTTATCAATTACCATCAACATTTTAACTTTTACAGCCCAAACGCTTTCATCTGACATTTCTCTTTCTGCCCTTGTCCACACAGCTCTTTGGGAAATCTTTAGAGGGACAGAAAAGATTGTGCCCACTGGCAGGCCGGCACCGTGGGCAGCCTTGTGCACAGGCGCCCTCGGGTCAGCCCCTGCACATCGCGGCCGTTCTGGCTGTGACTGGGAGCGGCCTTCTCGGCCTCGGGGACACGGGCCTTGCACACAGCCGGCGGGACCCCTGCCCGGGGCGGCCTCCTCCACGCCGGGAGGCAGAGCGGCCACCATGGGAAGCTGCCGTCCTGCCGCCCTCTGCTGCCTCGGCTGGAGAAGGGGCAGCGTCGAGGTGAGCCGGTGTGAAGCGGGCAGACATGGCACCGTCTTCCCCGTGAGTGTCAGGAGGGGTCAGTGCAGCCTCACCTCGCGCCTCACCTCCGGGAAGCGGCTATCTGAGTGCCACCCTCCTCCTTGGAGATGGGCCTGGACCTGTAGGGCCGGGGGAGCCAGGGAAAGGGCAGCCGGGTCCCAGGAGGCTGAGCTCAGGAGACCGCGAGCCCGGGAAGGCGCAGACGGCAGCCGCGGCTGGGGGAGGGGACCTCTCACCAGCTGCGGCGCCACTGTGGACAGACAGACTCTCACGTGCCTCTCGCTGCTTCTCGCCGCTTCCAGAAAATACTTGTGTTTCTTCTAAAAATAAAATGAGAGTTGTGCTCAAAACATCTGACACATGCACGTCTGATGCCCTGACTTCTGCTCGCTGTGCTCTCCCGGAGCGGGGCAGCTGGGCTGCAGAATTGCCTGGGGAACTGAAGCCACACAGCTCTCAGCACAGGACCACGGTTCCTGCCACAGGACTGCCACTTCTGCCATGGGACTGCCACTCCTGCCACGAGACCACGGCTCCTGCCACAGGACCACCACTCCTGCCACGGGGCCACGGCTCCTGCCACAGGATCACTACTCCTGCCATGGGGCCACGGCTCCTGCCACAGGATCCCCACACCTGCCATGGGGCCACGGCTCTTGCCACAGGACCACCACTCCTGCCATGGGACTGCCACAGGACCACTGCTCCTGCCATGAGACCATGGATCCTGCCATGGGGCCATGGCTCCTGCCACGGGATTTCCACTCCTGCCATGAGACCACGGCTCCTGCCACAGGATCACCACTCCTGCCACGGGGCCACGGCTCCTGCCACAGGATCACCACACCTGCCATGGGGCCACCGCTCCTGCCACGAGACCATGCATCCTGCCACAGGACTGCTACTCCTGCCACGGGACCATGGATCCTGTCACAGGATCCTCATCCTGCCATCGGAACACCACTCTTGCCACAAGACCATGGCTCCTGCCACAGAATTTCTACTCCTGCCATGAGACCACCACTCCTGCCACAGGACCACTACTCCTGCCATGGACCATGGATCCTGCCACAGGACCTTGGCTCCTGCCACAGACCGCGGCTCCTGCCACGGGGCCACCACTCCTGCCAGGACTCCCCTGGTACTCTCCCCAAAGGGGCCCCTCATACACGCTGCCCTCAGGCAAAGGCTCCACGGGACTGTGCTCACTGGTGCCCTTAGGCACTCCAATGACCTTGATGATAGGCTGTGGAGTCAAGCACATGACTGGGGCCAGGTATCTAGGTTCAAGTCCTTCCTCCACCATTATCAGCTGTCCAGCCTGATCCAGAAAATCACGTTACTACTATACAGAGACAATAATATTACATATGTATTTATTTATTTTCATTATTAGGATAGTATGTATTTTTCTATATTTCCCTATGTATGTAATAAGCAAGATATTCATACACTTTATGTCATTATATTTTATAGAATACCGTTTGCACTATTATAATAAATGTCAAAATCGAGGTAATAATATAATAAAATAATGACCAGCATTAATACCCTTCTCGCCCGGACTGCCTTTTTCTAGCAATAATCCGGGCAGAGATACATTTCCCCTTCATCACAAGAAGGAAGGAATCTGCCTGGGGCCACGGATGCGTCAGGTGAGGACGAGACCAGGCGCTGGGAGAGCCCACCTCCGCCCACTCGGTGCTCATCAGGGTGAGACAGGACCAGGCGCTGGGAGAGCCCACCTCCGCCCACTCGGTGCCCATCAGGGTGAGACAGGACCAGGTGCTGGGAGAGCCCACCTCCGCCCACTCGGTGCCCATCAGGGTGAGACAGGACCAGGCGCTGGGAGAGCCCACCCCCGCCCACTCGGTGCCCATCAGGGTGAGACAGGACCAGGTGCTGGGAGAGCCCACCTCCGCCCCCTCGGTGCCCATCAGGGTGAGGACGGGACCAGGCACTGGGAGAGCCCACCTCCGCCCACTCGGTGCCCATCAGGGTGAGACAGGACCAGGCGCTGGGAGAGCCCACCTCCGCCCCCTCGGTGCCCATCAGGGTGAGACGGGACCAGGCACTGGGAGAGCCCACCCCCGCCCACTCGGTGCCCATCAGGGTGAGACGGGACCAGGCGCTGGGAGAGCCCACCTCCGCCACT